TTGTTGGTGCAAGGGTTTAGGTTTTTTTCTAGGGTATATTCAGGGTTTATGCGGTGCTTATATTCTCATTGTTTCGGCTGCTGCTTTGTATACATTTAAAAGCGCATGTAGCAAACATGTAGCTACACGTAGCAAAACTACAGCTGCAGTTGCAGTAAAGCCGTCAGCACATTGAATCCGAAGACGAATCAAATCTGCCGTCTCAGTTATCTCCGGTCGCAGAGAAACTTCATTCGCAGTAGAGAAATTCTTGTTCACGGATACACCAATCGGTGCTCAGCGAGACGGCAAACTGATTTCCTCAAGCCGCGATCCACAGGTGTTGCAAAACAGCAGGCATCCAGTGCTGCACGAGGACACCTGAAAGGAGTCGACAATTGCATTGCAGCGGTCACGTGATCAGGCAGCCCTGCGATATCTCTGAGCCGTGGACATGTCCCAAAGCTCTTGGCGAGGAGGGAGGCAGCCACTTGCACCCTTTCAGTGAAGTGTGTACACGACTCTGTACATAGCACTTCCAAAGTGCGAAGGACATGTAAGTTAAGCAATGAACATTAGGCGGGTTGGCAGGTTGCCACGTTCGCCCAATAGGGCGATTCACAGTGGAGTCAGAGTAGGAGCCGGCAACAACATAGCCTTGGACTTGATGTAATCTTAGTTTCAATTATTTCGTTTGTTGCCCTTGTCAGCAGGCAATGTGTGGCAGATGTTTGGCGGACACCGCCAGCGATTTCGCAGCCGTTTTGGTTTGGGCACGAGGGCTCATCGCTGCATTTGGTGGCAACAGCAGGCCGCCGCTCATCTGGCCATGGCCTTGGAACAGCCACCATTGGTCGAAGAGCCTCGGCGTTTCCTGCTGCCATACTTTGGCACGACCCCACACGGCCGACAAAAGTTGGCGAGCTGGGCGTTGCTTGGGCGTGCAGTTTGTTGGCTGCATGGACCAGCCCAGGGCTCGACTTGATTTCGCGCTCCTCGACGCCAAAAAACTTTCGCATTCCTTGCAGGGCCCATCAGTCACGTTCAGCTGAGCTCCCCTGGCCCTCACCACGTTCCAGAGGACGGCCCTGGCCCAACGGGCCCAAGCAACCAACCACCAGCGACCACAGAACCTCGGCGCTCCCCACAAGCCGCGCACTTGCGCTCACGAAAGATGTCGCCAAGAAAACGGTCGAGGCAGCACGATTTTGCCCCGTTCTGACAAGGTCTAAGCTTCAAACTCACCTTGGTTCGAGCGTTATACACAAGTAAATATCGGCCAAAATACACTGTTTTGAACCGTGCAAAGATTGTGCAAGCCAGCGTCAAAACGTGCAACAATCATGTACACACGCTCAATCGTTGCTGCACGGTTTGGTCCCATTTTTACACGTTAAATGCACGATAACTACACAATTCAGCACGATTTCACCACGATCTTCAATCGTGTTACACGGTACACGATTTTGAAAAACCGTGTATGTTGGCTTGTTTTACTTAATGATAATACATAATGATAACAAGAATGGCAGATAATTGCAACATAGTTTGAGCACAGTCCAATAGCGCGCGAAGTTGGCAGTACTTTGCCAGTGTTTTTGCACGCTCACCTGCTGGAGGCAGGCATCTGCCCTGGGCCATAGGGGTTGGTGTCCCAGGGCATGTGGGCCTTCACCACGGACCCCATCCGCCCCCCCCACGGCACCCTGCCCGACCTGCCCCATCCCGGGTGCTCTACCCACGGGCACGGTGGCTCCCTGTGTCCCAGAGCATCTGCCGTGGCACAGCGTGCGCACCCCGGTCAGCACCGCGGCCCCAAAGCGGATAGTTTCTTCTTGTGCCAATTGTTATGCATTGAATATGTACTGCATACAGACTTTGTTTGTGTTGAACATTGGACTTCAATGAACTGATCAGCGACACCGCTTTGCTAGGGCAAAGTAGGAAGCTGATTCTACCTCATTGACTCGTTCTGTTAAAACCAATGATGACGATGATGATGACGAATATGTACTGCAAGGGGGGGTTTGTAATCTATTGCAGCAAATTGTTCCATGCACAGCATTGACAAGAGTTGATTAGGGCAAAAGATTTGTTAGATGAGAATAGCTTATTTCTACTGTTGCAAAACAAGCTGCCGGGGGTCTTCGCATTGAAGAAATGGCACCTCGCCGATTCCCACAAACGCAGGGAGAATAGCCGGACAGTTCTGTTTTCATGGCAGTTTTCGAAATTGGATGTGGTCAGCACCAGCATAAGTATTTGTAAGCACCATTGCGTGAGCTTATCCTTGCCAACGCCACCGCAAAAATGCGCTGACCGTTGTGCTTGCATTTGCATTGACAACAGTCCATTCCTCGCTGCACAATCCAGCCCAAGCGAAGCATGAGTGGCACACACAAAATGAAAACCAGAAGATTCGGAGCGGAAGATAAAAGATGTAGTAAAAAGGGAAAAGGAAAATGAATTCGTGATTAACGGCAACGCCACAGCAGCACACTGGTCACGGCATGTGCCTCTACTGAGCTCAGATTATCTAGCAGCCTCAGTTCACTGGCCGTTTACAAGGACTTTGCAATGTCCGTCCTTTTCTCCCAGCCAAAAGAAAGAAAAGCAGACAGGCACACACGCCCCAGAAAATAAAGTTCTTCACTTCCTACAATGAAGAAAGAATGAACGCAGAAAACGAAGCAAAAGCAAAAGTCAGAAACTATCTGCGAAAGGGAATGGACTCACCGTCCCCGTGCCAGCCTGATCCAGCCTGTCCAAACGCCACCTCCGGCCCCCTGCCCCACGGCCGGCGCCCCATGGCGTGCATGGGCCCTCGAGGCAGGTAAGCCGGCACAGTGTTCCCGGACCTGTGGCCGACGTACTTTACGGCGTGCCGCGGCAGCTGCACCCTCCGTCTCCTCTCCGCCTCCGCCGCCATCCACTCCATCTTCAGCGGGCGCCTGCCCATGACCAGAAGCTCCGGGCACAGCTTGGGAACCTGTCGCCAGTACATCAACGTTGTACTGTTCCCCTTTTCGCCGGCTCCAAAGATGCTAATCCAGAGTCGTCTGTTTGCCCGTTGCGCTGGCTCACGCCACGCGCAGCATCAATCGCAAGGACATGTTTGTTGGCAACTGTCTTAATTTTATTTAATTTTATTTAATTTTATTAGTTTTTAAATTTTGTTTATTCGTACTACAATTGGGCATTAGTGCGTCGTTCTCTAGCCACTCTGATTGCAGCCGTGCACCAGACATCGCCTTCCACAAATGTTTGACACCATCACATCCGGACATGAACGCCATGAAGGTCGTTTTCGGGTTTAGGGTACTCAGACTTTCAGTTTTTAGGGATTTAAGTTCCTAGTACCCTTCATGACCCACTCATGACCGTCGCATCCGATATGTATCAGACATCCTCTCGCCTTTGGGGTGCAAAGGCTGTGCCTTGTCACATTCGTAGGAATGAAATTAATGGATTTACTAGAAGCACCAGACCATGTTAAACCAACCTAGAGCAACATAATAAAAGAGAAGATGATGGAACATGACATAATGAGGCGAATGAACAATACAACACAGGCGGCGGGCAACGTGCTCAGCGCCTTGAGAAGCAGGCGGGAAGCACACAGCCTGTAAATGCAGCTCCTGTTGCAGATCATCCGCGGTGAACCCACGCTCAGCACATCCATGGACATACCATACTTGCGGATACAGCACATGTACCAGCACATCTTGCGTATAACAACCATGTGTTTGGATGAGCAACACGCGCACACGGCGGCGCACCGCCGGCCCCCGCCGCTGCTCACCTGAAGCAGGTTGTCGCTCCTTATGGGCTTAGTACAGAGGGGGATCCCAGGCATGCGCAGAAACCGAAACCTGCACAGGCTGCGAGACTCGGCCCGGCCCACGACTTCGCAGCCCACAGACAGCGGCCAGCATCAACTGACCGCACTCCAACCGCCGGAAAGGCTCCCATCGGCTCGCGACACGGCGACACCACCGGTCGCTAACGATCGGTAACCATCAATGCGCCAGGCCACAGGCAAATCAAACAAATACGCAATCCATCCCTTAACCCTGAATTAATACAGATACCTAGCAAGAAACATTTATACACGGTTTTGAAAATCGTGTACCGGGAAACACGATTGAAAATCGTGGTAAAATCGTGTTAAATCGTGTGTTTATCATGTCTATCGTACAAGAAAGGGACCAAACCGTGTAGTAACGACTAAGTGAGCGCACATGATTTTTACACGTTTTGACACGGTATTACTCGATTTTACACAGCTCAAACCGTGTACTTTGGCCGATTTTTCACTTGTGTATGGAGCAATATTATGCCGCACTGAGTAGCGCTGAGTTCGCGAATTGGCGGCGTCTAAAGCGCGGGGCTCATTGCAACCGCTGAGTACGATGCACCAAGGAGGATACATGAAATTCAAAATTACCTAAAATTACTTCATTAGTGAAATTTCAAATTTTCAGCCGATCGCTGAAGCGGCTCCATGCACAACTGCTGAGCATTCGGGTGAGTGGATCTTCCACCCCTGGGAGCAGGCGCCAAGGGTACCATTCTGGTGAGAGGAGGTGCCCAGTTTGAAGACCCAATTCGAGTTCGAAGCATAATGGGGTGGGGTGAAAGCACAACGCTGTTTATACCTGCCCCTCCCTGCAAGTTGATTCACATTCACAGCAACGCACGCACGTTTCAGATGTTCAGCTGCCACACGGTTGGGCAATCTCTCTTCTTTTCCCATTTGCAGCTGGCGAACGTTTTGATTTGCGTTGATTAATATGGTTCACCAGTTTTAGATTATCGTCTATTCGTCATTTGGTTGGTCAGCAGCCAGTCAATTCTAGTTCTAATTGAGGTTCAGGCGAGCACTTGCTCCTTTTGCAGGCTGCCTTTCAGTGCTAAAGACCGTTTAGGATACCCACAGCTGCGGGGTAGAGAAGTGACAATTGCTAGGATTACATTTTCGAGGTTTGGCACTTCTAGGGCTGACCCTCCTCGCGAGCCAATCAACACAAACGACACACTGAAGGCGGCGCCTGGGCTTTGGCATGTGCTCTGATCTTCTGAAGCAGCCTCACCAGTTCTGCGCTGGACCGTCCACTGGTCCCCATCCCCTGACTGGCTCCAAACCCGGGCATCACCACCGCCTGCACCCCAACCTCGAACATGCACCTCTCCACTGCCGAGAACAGCAGCTTGGACAGTCCGTAGCCCCGCACCTCCACATGGAAAATAACATTCAGCGGAGCGTTGCTGCAACTGGATCCAATTTTTGCAAGCCGAAGAAATTGCACAGGCAGCCAAATCCATGTTCGCGATGCCGATTGCGGCGCCATTTGGCAATAATTGACGCCATCATAGTGATTGCGATGCTTCGAAGTAGCTGCTATGGCACCAACTTGTGTCGAAATGGCACCGCAGCTAACACCACAATAATGTCGGTTTCCGCTTGTGCTGTGGAGGGGAAAAGGGGCAGGAGGGGCGCATGGGGCTTAACCAATGTCAGGGACATTCGGTGTGCATGTTTGCGCCTGCCATCGCCCAGCAGGTCCAACGGCAGCATCGCTTGTTCAGCAAGAAGCTTCAAGGGTTCATGCCACCTGTACAAATTTAAGATCGCTGAGGTCATGCATATTCCCACGTGCACATTTTGCACGCATTTTGTTTGTGCCCGTTTGGGCATGCACTGCTTGGGTGGCGTGTCACTTGCATCGAGCGATCAGCACACGCACCTCCCTGTGCACCACCACCAGCGGCAGCTCCGCCACAAAGGGGCCCAGCACCCGCAGCAGGGCCACGGCTACCAGGGTCTTGCCGACCCACAGGGTGGCGGACTGGAAGCCCGAGAAGTCGGTGGCGCCGTCGGGCGACCGGCGGCCCTCGACCATGAGGGGTATGAGGTTCTCCTCCGTGGCGCCATCCAGGAGGGGCTCGAAGGAGTAGGAAAGGAGCTGCGCACACGTGCAGGGCAGCATTAGCATTCACTGGTAGGAAACAACCTGTTTGCGATGCCAGCTGCGATGCCAATTTGACACTAATTGATGCCATCACAGCTCCTTTTATGCCATCGCACTCACTGTGATGGCATCAATTTGTGTCAAAAGAGCATCGCAGCTGACATCGCAAACAGGGTGTTTTCTACTGGTGATTGGTGAACTCATCTGAGCCAGTCTGATCTGAGCCAGAACAGGTCGAATCAATCTGATCTGGTCGCTAAACAAAAGGCTTGAAGGAGTTGAAGGATTTGACTCACGAGGAAAACCGGAACTATGATAGGTTTGCCATGCTTTAGGTACAGCATGCAGAGGTGACTTAACAAGGATCTGACAGGGATCAGGACTGGAACGTGATGAGCTGGGCGCAGAGAACAACAAAAAGTGAAGCTGCCCCTTTCCATTCCAAAATATCGCATCACATATAGGGGCCCAGGCGACAACCAAATCCCAACAAAATAAACGAGGGCTTTGCAAGCGCACGTGTCTAAGTTGTTGGAACAGAGAAGGGCCTGACCCAACTCTGATCCGTTATGAATCCATTATCCAGAGGGGGGGGGGAGGAGCCGCAGGTGTGGAACAGGAATGAAATTTTTATCCTCGATGTCATGATAACTTCTGACATTTAAGCCTATGAGAGTGCCTGTGATTGCACCATAGCGCAAAGAACAAGGGCGACATTGCGTCAATTCCAACGAAGATGAACATAACACCAAGATTGCCTCATGCCAGCCCGTCTAAAAGACCACCAATGCGTCACCCAATTGGCGCAAAGACATCGCTTTGCGCTGCCCATCCAATTGAAACCGATTTCGAGAATATGCTGTGTGTCTTTTGGGGCAGAATTGGAAAGGTGGACCTCACCAGCTTGGCACCCTCCAGAACCACCCTCAGGCGCTTCTGTTGCTGGCCAGTGTACTTGGGAGCATGCGCAGTGCAGTCACTGGGCTTGTAGACGGCTGCCCCACGGATGAGCTGCCAGCTGATGGGTGTGTTGTCCACCAGGCGGTCGACCTGACCCACCAGCACAGCTGTAGGCTAGGACATGTTTGCCACGCTTTGCAAGGTCCTTGCATACCACTGGAAATATAAGATATGATATAAGACTGAAATGAATGAATGAAATGAAATATAAGACTGGCACTTGATCTAAATTCAGTATAGGTATGTGCCATGACTGGCGTGGTGTCTTCCCCGCTGCATGCAATGTATGCATTCACTCATTGAGCAGATCAATTTTCAGCACTTGGGAAATCGGGATGCTGCCTTGCTTTCAAAATGAAAGGGAAAAGGAAAAAGACCAGCAGAAAAGAACAGAACGCTTCATGACAGCGCGCAGGTGTCGTTTACAACAAATCAATGGATAAGGTCAAAATCTGCTTGCATCATAGACTTTGAGCCGTTTCTTCTCCCATTACCATGCATTTCAAGCACTCCTGACAGCGTCCCCAGGTCGTTTCACTCCCCTTTCAAATCATCAAGTGCTTCATTCACATTCATCTCTCGTTCCCCATCCCTTTTCACATTGTTCAACGACTGAAAATGTCATAAACAGCGCATGGGGCACCCGTGCGCAAGCACATGGACTGTCCAGCATAAATCCACACACACCATCTTTCCCATCGCCAGATCCCTTTCTAAACCACTGAAAAAAACACAGAAGGGTGTACCAAATAGGAAAGGCGTTGGGCAACAGAGCCAGTGGGACAAATTAATTCGCCTTAACGCAGCTCACCTGCACGAGCCCGCGGCAGTTCTGCATGGCCAGCATCGCGCTGATCCCGTGGCAGGGCATGCTGCAGAACCATGGCCTGTCCAGCCCCCACGGCTCGCCCGGCAGGCACTCGAAGTGGTAGTCCATGTGGCAGCCCGCACAGCGGACCCGGCTGTCCCATTCCACCCTCTCAGACACGGCCCACAGCCTGAAGCTCCCACCCTGGGCCCTGGGGGCCGGCCCGCCCGGGGGGGCGGGCGGCGGTGGCAGACCGCCGAACACCAACGGATCAGCCAACCGCGCAGCCGGGCCGAATCCAAAGGGAAAGTTCCTTCGGTGGTGTTGCTGCAAGTGCACGGGTGGAATCGAGATTGGGGGATTGGAGACAGGCTGCAGGGGTTCAACCCGCGGCGGCACTGGCGACTCCACCTCCTCGTCGCCATCGTGCGCGCTGGGCTCCGCGAGCATGCCCGAGTCCGTCTGTGTGGTGCACTCTGACGCTGACTTCGACTTGGGGTCTTGGCCAGCCTTGCCCAGCACCAGGAGCTCCCCGTCCGGCGAGCGGCCCCCCTCCTCCCGGGTCCCAAGTCCCTGCAGGCGGCCGGGATAATCCCCCCGCTCCTCCCGTCGCGGGCCCCAAGGAACGCTGGGCCCCAAGGCCCCGGGTGGTGGCGAGGATTGGCTGGACACGCGGAGCACCCCCCCCAGCCCCAATCCGTCCGCCCCCTGGCCGAACTCGCGCCAGCTCCTTGCCGCGCCCAGCCCCCCCTGCCACGGGGGCTGCTGCGGCACCCCGCCGCCCGGGCGCGGGCAGAACGCCCCCCTCGATCCACTGGTCCCTCCAGCGTCAAACTGCCCTTCATCCCACCCCCCGCCGAATCCCCTCGGCGCCACCTCGCACCGCGCGCCATCCCGGTAGCCTCCCATCTCCCCCCCCACGCCGGCCCCGTCATTCACCTTCAAGTCCTCGGACTTGAGCTGGGGCGCGGATCGGAACGGCTGCGTGGGGGCCCTCGGGGCCAGCCCCTGGCTGGGCTCGCAGGGAACGGCGCCGTGCGGCTCAGGCTGCTGGGGCGGATCCGCGGGCCCGAAGGCGTCCGGGTCCGGGTCCGGGTTCGGCGCGAAGATGTCCAGGCCGTCAAGGGACGCGCCTGGGCTGGGAAAGAGCGGGTCGCTGAGGGAGGGCACGTCCAGGTACTCGCCCAGGCGCAGGGCGTCGGGGCCGGAGTCCAGCGGGCACTCGGACGTGGCGCTTTTGGCCCGCATGTCCGGCAGGTTGCTGTCGCTAGCCGCGCGGCGGTGGTCGGATGGCGAGCCCGCCTTGGAGGGCGTGCCGGAGGGTGCGTCGGCGGAGGGCGGGCTGGCGCCGTCCCCGGGCACGAAGCCGTTGTTGTTCAGCGATCCAGCCCCCGCGCTGCCGTTGTTGGTCAGCGATCCGGCCGCCACGCTGCCGTTGTTGTTCAGCGATCTCGCGCCCGCGCTGCCATTGTTGTCGACGGACGGCCCTCCGTTGTTGTCGTTCAGAGACGGTGGCCCGCCTCTGCTGGCGTTGTTCAAAGACCTCGCCCCTCCGCTGCCGTTGTTGTTGTTCAGCGATCCATCCGCTCCGCTGTTGCTGTTGGTGTTCAGTGATCCCGCCCCTCCGCTGCCATTGTTGTTGTTCAATGACCCCATTCCTCCGCTGCCGTTGTCGTTGACGGACCGCCCCCCTCCCCCGCAGCTGTTGCCGTCGATCGAAGGCGGCCCGGCGCACCCGCCGGACGGCGTGTCCCCTCCCGACGCGAAGCATGGCCCCCGCCTGCTGCCGCCTTCTCCGCTGCGCCCCGAGCGCGACGACGGTCCGTTTGTGTTGCTGCTGGAGCCCGACCGCGGGGCCGATTGGCAGCCGTCGGCGCTGCCGTTGCCGCCCATGTCCTCGTCGCCAATTGCATCCTCGTCCGCGGTTCCGTCTGCGAAGATTCCGCCCGCGGCTCCGTCGGTCAGTCCCACGTCCTCGGGCCCCGCCGCGGTGCCGGACGACTCCCG